TCGGAAACCCAAGGAGGGGTCGCTATGAGTCGGGGCCGACTGGATGGCAAACAACAACAACAGCAACTAGTGAGTTTGAACCACTCACCTTTTGGTTAGCTGCTGAATGCTTTAACTACTGAACCACCAGAACTTCTTCATAGCATGACAGAAAATAAAAATTCAGGTTTGATAATTTGAAAACTTGGTTTATGAGTTCCATGTTTTATAATTTTTGGCTTTCAACTCCCATTATTTCAACAAGTCATATAAAATTTTCATTTTCTGTATAATTCACAGTGCTATTGTGAGGAAAAATACTGTAACTTATGTGAATGTGCTTTAAAAACTAAAGCAGAATAGCAAACATAGTAGTTTCATTTGTATATCTCTTTTACAAGAAGGTGTTGGTGAGTCACTCATTTGAAGATAACTAACCTTTAATTTAGAATCAGGGAATAATGAAGTTATAACAAGCTTATTCCAGACAACACAAGGCAAAATGGCTGTGGTAGGTTAGGTTTGCTATTAAAGTCTGGTTTCTTGAATGACTCTTCTAAAGCTATAGAATTAAGTCCTAGTTCAGGTGTATTAAGGAGCTCTGGTGGTGCTGTGGTTAAGTCACTGGGCTGCTAATCAAAAGGTCAGTGTTTCAAACCCACAGCTGCTCTGCAGGAGAAAGATGAGGCAATCTGACTTTGTAAAGATTTACAGCCTTGGAAACCCTATAGGGTTGCTATGAGTCAGCACTGACTGATGGCAGTGGGTTTACTTTTTTTCAGACAGGTGTGTTGCTCCCTTGCTTGATGCTTTGGACAAATGCTGATTTAGCTCATGTTTTCTTCAAATTCGTATTCCTGGAAGAACTGCCTATTTGCGGGTTGGCATCCAAGTTGTAGGTACCATTCTTCCAGACCTGACCCATACATCTTTATCTAGTTATAATTAATAAGAACAACACACTATTTATAACAGTAAACATCAATGTTTATAAATGAAACTGCAACAAGTATAATTTTCAGTACATGACATATTTTCATGCATATGCCTTATCCCTGTGCAATCCTAAGAATACTTTAACATACATTTCATAGATTTCCTTTACTACTAACATTGTGGGTTTCCTTCCTAATGAGTAAACAGTTCTAAAGCATGACATCATAATTACATTATAATTTATTCAATCCTGTGGCATACACTATGTTGGAAAAACAGTTATTTGCTTCCTTTGTAGATAATATTAAATTTTACCATCCATTTCTGGAAATTAAATTTACTAGCAAAATCCACATTTAAAAAAAAATATACAAGAATATACTAGCTTATCACAATCGACAAAGAAATGAACTCAGGAATTCAAAATAGTATAATGTCAGGAACAGTTTATCTTCATGGAAAACATTCACTTTATGCATATCCCACTTGGCTTCATTTAATTAAAAAGCTGAAAAAGAAAGAAAAGTATTATATGCTGAAAAAAAGCAAAAAAAAAAATAAAATAAACATATGATTTTCACTCCATTCTAAATTAGGACATATAAAAATAACATAAAATGTCATATTTATATTAAAAGTCACCTTCCTGTAATTAATTTCAGGGTGTTTTCTCTGTATTAGTTCCCGTAGGAGCATCAGGTACATGGTTAGAATAGGGTAAGGGTTTAGCACAGATACCAGATGATTGGACTTGTGGGGTTTTAGTTTACATACAACATCACATTTTTATGAGAATCTCTCACTGCTGTGGCTACAGAAATGGTTATAATCAGCATTTAAAATGGCAATATAAGGGAGATAAAGAGATGGTTTCAATACATATTTGAAGTGGGTCATTTAAATGTTCTAAGAAATATTTTCATCATTGAATCTAAATCCATTTACTTCTATAAAATAATAACGTAAACACTTGATCTACTGTTAGTGTAACATATTTTTATTACACTGATTAGTTAAAAAGAATACATACGTAAAAACATCATGAAATATTGTTAGATTCTGATGAAAAAGCAACACAAATGGTTGTACATAAAAGCTAATGAATAAAAATAAATGCTAAACATTATATTTTCCTTTTTCACATGCACCAGCAAATATTTATAATATTTTTAAGTATTTAATTCTATGGAAATTTATTTAAGTTTGTAAATAATATTTACTAAACTTTCTGTTTAATAGCTACATTTCTGCTAATTTGTGGCATGAGTCTTCACAATATAAGATTACTCTGTAGGTCAAACAGACAACCAAATTGAACTAATACTACAGCAAAATTTAACTTAATGGTTACTACAGTTTGAAGGCATGTAGTTGGAAATGTGCTCAAACAAGTAGGCTCTATATCTGAATGTTTAAATTAGGCATATATTGTTTTGTCTTTCT